AGGGGGGAGCTGAGGGGCAACTGAAGCTGCGGCCTCCCTCTGAAGAGAAGGCGCCTGCTGGCCCCAGTCTTAGTGTGATGGGGTGGGGGGGAGCAAGCTGGGGTAGGGAGAAGTGGGATTCTTTAATAAGTGCTGAAAGAAAGAACAGGTATCATGCGGCACAGATGGAGAGATGTTCTCTGATCCTTTCCTATTTCTGTAGCGTGACCAGTTTGTCCTCCCTGAGGCAGGGCTTTGGTCTTATAACTAAAAGGGTAGGGTCTGTGAATATAAGGAAAAACAGCCATATCTCTCAGTGCTGAAAGTCACAAATCTTAATTTCCCATATATCTAATAGCATACTTATTTGTTCTCCTGCAGTACAAGTCCTGTTTTCCCAGCAAAGCCGGACTGTGGAGGTGAATGCTGAGCAGGTGCTTAGCTCTGTGCGAGCTCCTTGGCCTGTTGTTGGGTCAAAGCTTAGAAAAAGCTTCTTAGCAGCCTTCCCTTCAGTCTGTGTATTTCTTTGTTCAGGAAGAAAATTGCGCTTGCTTTGAGTAGTGAGTCTTTTAAACTCTCACTTGAAATTAGCCACCAAATTGAAAAATTATAGGGATGAGGAAGTGGAATGTGAATAGACAGTACGGTGTCAGGCATCCCCTTTCCTGGGAAAGGAACTAACAGTCCAGTTTGCTGGTGAACTTGGTCTTGAAGCATGTTACACTTTACCATGGTTATAGTGTATTCTAACTCAGCTTATGTAAATTGGCCTCCCAACATATTTCTCAATAAGAATCTGCATTGTTTATTCTTAATAAGAAACTTGCGAAGAAGGAGAGGGAGGACTGGGAATGAATTACAAAATGAAGGTGGAAAAGGGCTTCAGATCTGGAGGAGAACTGTTTGGAAAGCTGTCTTAAAAGTGTTTCTACAGCTTACTCTGTGTTGTAGGATAGCTTTATTTTAAGGAGATACTAAAATAAGTAGCTGTCTTGGTGAGTCAATTGCATTGTCTTGTGTTTTTTTTTTTTTCTTGCAGATCCCTCATATCTGTTTAAAGAGACCAGACGCATAAAATGACCTTGCTTCTCATTAGACAGTCCCTCAGCTCTGTTTGCCTGTTACTGTCTCTAAGCAATGAATAAATGGAGAAGGAAATTTTAAATTCATTACATGTGCTAGAGTCAGGACTAGTCTCTTAAGTATTCTCAATAATACGGAGGTTTAAAGGTTAGATGTACTAGGAAAGCATTTAATGTAAAGCGTTTCAAAGCAGTCTTCTAATAGCTCTAGGCATCTGACCCTCAGGGAATTGAGATTCTGCTTTTATATATTTGAGATATGAAGACAAATTTCACTCATTGAAGGAGTTGAGCTATATAAAACATGTGACACAATGCATCTTTCAGGACATAATTCAGTCATGAAAGGCTGAAGTGAAATTGGAAAAAAAATCAGTGTAATGAAAATGGCAAAGTTTTTAACAGGACTAAATCTTGAAGTACTGTTCTCAGGGAACACAGAACACCACTTTGTAAGCAAACATATCTGTTAAAAGAAATTCTTAATGACTCTTAAGTGTCTGTCTTGGAAACAGAGAGCCTGATCCAAAAAGTCAGTCCTTAGAATTTATTTATAGTGAGCTCTGGGGGTAGTTGTGCAAGGTGTGGTGATGGGTTTCCTCAGGAATGAGCTCATGGTCAGGGTTAAACACCAGGGTTAAACTTTGGGAAGGATTAGCAGATGTGTTACTGTAGTTGTTGGTATTAGTGAAGTAAACCCTCCTGAACATGTCATACTTAGTTCAGTGGCACAGATGACATTTTCACTGAATCTGCTTTCAGCCTTGTACTTGGATTCTTCCAGAATCCTCTGAAATTTGAACTTGTATGTCCAAATGTCTTTGAATATGGTATTCTTAAGTGTGAAAGTGTTAGAGAAAGCTAGTGAAAATGAGAGGGGAAAAAAATTGGAGGTAGTTTATCTGCATAAGGATGAAGAGATTTGGATTAAGTGAAGTAGTTGTAACTGATCTTATGAAGCTGGTGCTGATTATCAGTGTAGAAATGTGCTGTCAGGGGATGTCTTCCAAGGAAGTGAAAGTGGGTGAAAATAATGCCTGCAGGTGCATTAGGAAGTTTAAAGTTCTGCTTAAGTTGATTTGTCAGACCTCTGATGACTTCCACTGTGAGGGTTAAAATGCTATGGTTAGTTGTTCAATTTTCATTAAACTGTGTAATAGTATAATTTGCATTTAATGAGGTAACCCTGGTTCCTATGGTGAACTGATCTGGGGAATGAGACTGGCTGGGACTTCTTCTCTCCCTCTTCCCAGTTTCACTGGGGTAGGTCCCTGTCTGGCTCCCTGGGGTTGCTCGGGAGCTGGGGTTAACTCAGGAGAAGGGCTGGGATGGGGAGAAGGGGAAGGAGGGCAGCAGGATAGAACCATCCTGTCTGTCCAGCTGCGGCTCTTTAGAGAAGGTCACCTGTTCATAATGCCAAGCAGGGGGCAAGTGTGTTAAGGAATATATGTACTTAACAGTTTTATTCCCAGTGTACAATATGGAAGCTTGTATTTTTGATTACTGTGCTGTACCCTTCCCTTGGGACAGACTTCTGCCCTGAGATTTTAATCTCACAGGTTTACAGAGTTGTATAATCTGAATGAGTGATTTTTGTGGTGTATGAGGGCTGATGGCTTGTGAATTTAGCAGTGAAATAGATGGATTTTATTTTTTTTATGTGAGAAAAGCAAAAATTCTTGTTCATGTCTTAATTCCTTTCTGGAGAGCAGAGTAAATTAATAACTAGTTTCCTGCTCAGGGCTCGTTAGATTTTTAGCAGTATGCTCTGCAACTCCTGTTCCCTTCACATGGGCCTCAAGGTCTGCATGGCACAACTTCCTCATTTCTTGTTAACTAATCCCTTAATAGTTGTTTCAAATAGTAACAGAGTCATTCAGAAATGTTAATTCTGTTGCAACATATGGGCCTTGTTTAATTTGTTAAGTTTATTAATAAAATAGAGGAAGATATAAACCCAATGCAGCTATATCACTCTAGTCTTCAGTTCTCTCTTTGACCAATTCTAAACCTCAGGCTGAGTTGGAATTTGTTTCTTGTGGCAGCCTGATGGCATAACCCTGCTGTAAAGCAGTTTCTTGACCTGCTGCATAGAGA